GGCATAACAATTAACCTAGTGTCATGAAATGAGAGCTCTATTACCAAATTTCAGTAGCAAGGAATTTCCTTGTTAATTAAAATCCACAATGGTAAGAGCAGAATCAAGCACAGTAATTAGATATTAAACAGCCAAAAACCAATTTAAACCCCCAAACCCAAGCTATCATCGTTTTCAATGTATTGTAAGTAGAAGAAAAACTTCCCCATATGAGCAGTTGAACATTGGAAGGTGAAACTTGGGTTGAAATGCTTCGAATCTCAGTTAGTGTTGAAATGCTTCAACCTGGGTCATGTAAAAATAAATTAAATAATGAAATCTGCACTACCCACATAAAGAATAAAAAATAAATAAATAAATAAAAGAAAAGAAAAGAAAAGAAAATTTAATACTTGGGTTGCCTCCCAAGAAGCGCTTATTTATAGTCAATAGCTTGACTGTCCTTGGATGATCAAGTGGGATTATGTAACTCAATGGCCATCACATGCTTGTTGTATCCGCCATCCATGTAGGGTTTTAACAATTGACCATTCACTTTAAATGTGCCCTTTGTATCATGAGATACTTCCACCACACCATATGGGAAAATTCTTGTCACCATGAAAGGACCTAACCATCTGGATCTTAATTTCCCTGGAAAAAGTCTAAGTCGAGAGTTATAAAGCAACACTTTATCACCAACAGCAAACTCACGCTTTAGAATGTGTTTGTCATGCCATTTTTTAGTGCGTTCTTTGTAAATTTTGGCATTCTCATAAGCTTCCTGGCGAAACTCATCCATTTCATTCAATTGTAAAAGTCTTGTTTCACCTGCAGCTTGCATCTCAAAATTTAAAAATTTCATTGCCCAATATGCTCTATGCTCAAGTTCAACAGGTAAATGACATGCTTTTCCAAAAACTAACCTATATGGAGACATACCAATAGGAGTTTTAAAAGCTGTTCTATATGCCCAGAGCGCATCATCAAGTTTCAATGACCAATCCTTTCTAGAAGAATTAACAGTCTTTTCCAGAATTCTTTTTAATTCTCTATTTGAAACCTCAACTTGGCCACTAGTCTGTGGATGATATGGAGTTGCAACTTTATGAGTTACCCCATACTTACCTAAAAGTGCCTTAAATTGTTTATTACAAAAATGTTTTCCCCCATCGCTAATGATTGCCCTAGGAGTGCCAAACCTGGTGAAAATATTTTTCTTCAAGAACTTAACAACTACCCTGGCATCATTAGTGGGTAATGCTACAGCCTCTACCCATTTAGACACATAATCCACAGCCACTAAAATAT